ATACATGCCTGCTTTTGCTGGCTGCTTTGAGGATTTTCTCTTTATTACTGGTTTTGAGCAGTTTGATTAGGCAACTGATTTGTTTTTTATCTTACAAACACCTTGAATCATGTAACTGGTTGTGATTTTTTCTTTTCATTGATTATCAAAAGCTCAGATCCACATTTCTGCCCCAGTTCATGAATGCCATGTATACTCCTCACCTGAGCCTCCGACTTAATTCTTATTTTCTCTCTTCCCTGATTTTTCAATGTTTTTATCCTGTCACAGTATATCTTTTTCTTAATTTTATTTCCATAGTTACAAAAGTAACATATGCTCTTCATGTTAAGTCAAATAGTTCATGTGTATGTATATAAAGAAAATGCTAATAATTCCTCCTGCACCCACCCCATCTCTCAATTCCACCCTCTGAAATAATAGTTATTAACTTCGACATCTATGTGCTCATATAAACATACCTAGAAATAACAGTGTGTTTATTTTATAAGACCCCTTGAATCCTTTGTGGGAAAAGGTAGGATGTGAAAATGTTAAACAAATGGAAATTTATAATGGTAATAATGATGATATCAACATAGAAGTCATTGCATATGTTTGGGTGCTGTTTCATCTTTGATGGCTGGATTCGAAGCTCCGTGGGAAGGCTGACCCTGGAGCCTATAGCTCAGAGCATGTGGAGCACTCTAGCCCTCGTGTCATATAGGCAGCAAGCAAGGGGAAGTTTTAACTTTGACTCTTTTGCAGATTATCAAAGACCTGCAGTTGCTGGGGTTGGTGGCAGCCCTGGTGATGGCTGATGTGATCCTGCTCATGACATGGGTGCTGACCGATCCCATCCAGTGCCTCCAGATCCTCGGTGTCAGTATGACGGTGAGGGGCCCAATCCCTAGGGGAATCTAATTCCTGAATTGGACTAGCTTCTGTGGATACACAGAGGTCATTCCCCCAGCAGCATTCACCATGGGTCAGCCTTGCAACAGAAGGCGAAGGACTCAAAGAGGAAGGGGAGAGTCAGGAGCTGTGGCTGCCGGGAACACCTTGCCCCTGTCTGCAGGGCGTGCTGCCACTTGTACTGCTCATCCTGCCCAGGAGTCTTCTCATGGGCGTCCCCTGACATGTCAGCACACTGGACTCAGTCTGCCTGGCAGTTATCTCTGCTTCCACATTATCAATAATGAGAACTTGCAGCTGCGGGAAGTTCCCTTCCCCTCATTGTTGCGCTATAGAGGTATATTTTGAGGTGGTTTTCGGAGTCAGCCAACCCTGGTTCAAAACCCTGCTCTACCAGTCTCACCAGCCATGTGACCTTGGGAAAGTTATTTGACCTCTCTAAGTCTCTGTTCCCTCATNCTGTCTGCAGGGCGTGCTGCCACTTGTACTGCTCATCCTGCCCAGGAGTCTTCTCATGGGCATCCCCTGACATGTCAGCACACTGGACTCAGTCTGCCTGGCAGTTATCTCTGCTTCCACATTATCAATAATGAGAACTTGCAGCTGTGGGAAGTTCCCTTCCCCTCATTGTTGGGCTATAGAGGTATATTTTGAGGTGGTTTTCGGAGTCAGCCAACCCTGGTTCAAAACCCTGCTCTACCAATCTCACCAGCCATGTGACCTTGGGAAAGTTATTTGACCTCTCTAAGTCTCTGTTCCCTCATAGGTAAAATGGAGATAATAATACTACCTACTTCATAGGGCCGTGGTAAAGACAATGCAGGTAAAGGACTTAACTGTGCCCGGTTCATAGGTTCAGTTAATAGAAAGTATTATATGTCTCCAGCCTCACAGGGGCCAAGGAATGTAGTGGAATTGTGGCATTGCAGGATTTAATGTTTGAGGATTCAACTGTTTACAAATAGCAGGTCCGTAATGTGAAATAATTTGTAATTTTGCTGAGGTACTACTTGGAATCACTGTGGGTGGTAGCAAAGCCCTGCTGAGGGGTAAGCCCTGCTGCCATCAATGCACTTGTCAGCCCAACTTTATCATCTTTTTCTCCAACTCACAGTCACTCTCATTAAGTTTCTAATAGAGTCACCTAAATTTTACAGTTTACATTATGTGCTGTAGAGGAGCTCACACAGGATGTTCACAAAGATCTGCTGTGTGTTCCACAAATTAATGGTGGGCACCCTCAGTCCTGACTTTGTGTCTTTCCCAGGCGACAGGGAGAGACGTGTCCTGCTCCTTGACCAGCACCCACTTCTGTGCTTCCCGGTACTCCGATGCCTGGATTGCTCTCGTTTGGGGATGCAAGGTTGGTATCCCACATCTCCTTGGCATGTGATCTATGTGTCACCAACAAAATGGATATGAAGAAGGAATTACAGGAATTAATGAGGTGATGTTTGCAAAGAATCTTGAACTCAGAGGAGACTTCTGTTGATGCATAAGCCTCAAAGCCATAACTGTTTTTATTTCTCTATTGTTTATTTGTTTGGGGACTCACTCATTCTCAAGCCGTGGATGAATAGAGACTATATTCAT